ACATAATTTGAGATATCCCCAGATACCTCCTGCTCCAAATACGTTTACAATTAACAAAGCAAGACAGAGGGAAAAAAATATTACAGTTGCTGTATGGATAGAACTTTCACGGACAGAGGCATGTAGAGATTTGCTCTGTCACATGGGAACTTCGGAGATGTTCAGAAGTTAATCCAGATCCTGCCATACTAGCTTACTGCTTAAAAAATGCATTATTCCTCTCTTATGCCATGACTCAGCATACTTTTCCAACACGGTGCTTTCAGGCTAACAGTTGCCAAATTGCTTGGGGAGACTCTAACCTCACATATTTAGTACGTTCTCCCTGCAGCCCTCACAGAAGTCTACAGATGTCAGCTTTGATCAGACTCAGCCAGGACTGTAAAACCCACCCAGTTCACAGAGCTGGGATGTGTGTTAAGATGGTCTATAAAGTAAATCCTCCAAAAACTGCTGTGTGTTCTGCACTTAAAGAGAGGCACATGAGGCTGCAAAGGGCAGCATTTCTAACAGGCTGCCTTAAAGTAACAGCCTAATGTTGTTTTTAAACTTAGAAACTCTTTGGGAAGTGGACTACTGCTTAGACTCGTGAATTGCAGCTCTCTCCTGCTGTGAAGAGCCGTCAACATCCAGTCAGTGGAGTCCAAACCAGCCTTGCTAACCTGTATGGCTTAACATAAAAAGCAAAGGATGTTACTGTCACTGTCTGAATAGTGATTATGATCAGAGCAGGTGGTTAAAAAAACAAACAAACAAACAAAAAATCACCAACAAAACCCCCAGATGATATAAGAGATTCTGTTTAAAATACTCACTATTAAAATGGTTATTCATATGACTGGACCATTTCAAAGATCATAATTCTGTAAGGATAGAAGAGAGAGAGACAAATAAAATCCATACACTGTTGGAAAGCTGCAGGCAGTTCATAATAATGGAAAGTTTTAATTTTATAGATTAAGACTACATCAAGTGCTAGTTCCAAGTGAGAGTCCATCTCATCCAGCAACCTGACAGTGGCCAGGACAAACTAGAAATAAGCTGTGTGGACTGTACTTACCAGGCATCTCATCAGACAGTGGTCTCCAAACTTTTTGATTGTGCACCCCTATGAGCATGCACCTCCAATATATTTCTCTATTAATTTATAAACTATGTACCTGTACTAATGAAGTTCTGTATCTTCTTCCTGGGCCCCAATGGATCACCTTGCAGAACCCCTGGGGTGCACACACCTCACTTTGGAGACCTCTTCTCCCCAGTAACAAGTGATAGGACAAGAGGAAACAGCCTCAAGTTGTGCCAGAGAAGGTTTAGATTGGGTATCAGGAAAAACTCCTTCACTGAAAGGGTTGTCAGGCACTGGAACAGGCTGCCTGGGGAAGTGGTGGAGTCCCTGGAGGTATTTAAAAAACATGTAGATGAGGTGATTAGTGACATGGTTCAGTGGTGGACTTGGCAGTGCTAGGTTAATGGTTGGACTTGATGATCTTAAAGGTCAACCTAAATGGTTCTATGAAAATATTAAACAATGGGGGGGAAAATGGCATTTTTTTCCATGGTCTTCTCTCTTGCATGACTTCAGGATCTTGTACTTGACATTAAAGTAGATCCATTATACACATGAAAGTACCTTGTGATAGGCATTAATATCTAATTACAGCTGGAATCCCACTCTTCTCTTTTAAGAAAATCCTTGCTTTTGTGAGTTTAGGTCAGAATCTTGATCTCATCCAGCTTTCACAGCTATGTCACAACTTCCATGTATTCAAACTTCAGTAACCAAATACAACCAGAACATTCTATATTACAAATATTGAAGCAGAGGTGTCTAACATTAAAAAGCAAACCAGAATAAAACAGCTAAAAGCATTTCCATATAGTAAAGGAGCTTCTTTTTCTTTTATTTGACAAATCACTGTATTGGTAATACTCGTGAACATAGGTCTGGAGTACAGTTCTCCAATATGTCATCTGCTCCTAAGAATTTGATTAATTGACTCCCCATTTATTCAATTACTGCATCAATAGGTTTGCATGTTTAAAAGTTAATCTTTTTTATCCATTAGTAATTATGTTTTAATCCATATCTTACAATATTCCTAGTGTTTGGTTTCATTAATTTAATAAAGTACAGCTAAGTATCTTTTCTAAATACTGTCTAGTTTGTCACAGCTTAGTTCCAAATGTGTGATTGACCAGGATTTTGCATCCTCTCATAGATGATTTATATATGCTGGATAAACAAGATCAGTTTGGATACATGGATTATTTTGATTTTTTAAATGCTTTTATCTTGTTTGAATAAAATTCTATACAGTGGCAGCATAAATTGCCCAGGGAAAGGAAAACAAAATGAGAGCATTCACTGGACACTAGCTCAATAAGCAAGTTTTTATTCCCAGCTCTGTGACTGAAATGCCATACTCCCATGGGCATGGCACTTGTTTTTTCCTCTGTTGCTACTCTTACATTTTCTTTTGTCTATTTGGACTGGAACTTCTCCCAGGTGAGTACTGGAGGTACTATCTATCGTAACTAGCAAAACAGGGTCTTGATCTCTATTGTGGCCTCTAGGTGTTGCTATAATACAAATAATTAATCAAAAGACATGATTCATAGTCTCCATAGAGTGAATTGCCAATTTGTGTCAGAGCCATGCTTAATTATATGGTCAAACCTCTCTTTCTTCTCTGCAACATAACAGAAATTTTAGCTTTGTATATTGGACAAATGAATCTGAATGTGACAAGGTAGGAAAGCTGGAGAAAGATACTCTACTCACCTCTAGTTCAAGTTGCTCATTTTGGGGTGCCTTGGTGCCAGCCTTCTATCCAAGAATGGTGTCTACTAGAGGAATCCTATACCATATCCCTGACTCAGCCTAACCCTTCACTGCCAGAGTCAATCACTGGGCATCACATCCTTTGCAGGGACTTTGCCAATGAAGTGGTTTAGGAGTGCACAGTGGGTGCACAGGACACAAGTGGTCTAGATCAGGACACAGTTCTGCTCCTGCTCTAAGGACACAACTTACGACCCCCGAAGCCATTACAAACTGAGGTACTTGTGAGTTTAGTGAGGGTAAGCTTTGTCTTGCAGGGTGAAAAATCAGACCTTGGTGCAGGTTGGTCACAAGATCTGCTTGTTTTGCCTAACGGGACTATTGTGCATTGCCATTCTCATAGAGGATTTTCACATTGGTTTTTTAGTTTGATTTAAAAAAATACGGCACAGGAAAAAAAAAAAAAGCAACAAATAATGGGGAAGATTTTGAGCAACCTTTTGTTTTGTCATGTTTCCAAAAGAGGAGGTGCTGATCCTGCAGCCCACCATGGCACATCATTTGATGCAACCTCCAGCCAGAACAGCTCTAGTAGAGGTGTGCCAGGGCCATCAGTGCTTACAGTGATGCCCAGAATGGCAGATGTGTTTGTAGGAAATGCATTTTTAGGCAAACAGTTTGTCTAGCAGGGGATGCGTGATCCCTCCTGCAAAGCAAAGGCAGGGTAAAGAAAAGAACTGGATGCACAGTTAAAGAAAATGCTGCAGGTGCCTGCTGGAGTGATGTCTCACCAGGATTTACTAACAGAAAGGGGCAGCAGATGAGATCAGAGCTCTGTCCTCTTTCTAGTCAGACACAGGTGCTACAGGACCATGAGCTCCATAGCCATCCCCTCCCTTCCTTGTGGCTGTTGTCAGCTGTGAATTAATTACAACCTCTTCCTGGCATGGAAGAGAAGTCCAGAGAGGGGCAGTTAGTCTGTCTGCTCTGGTCTGTATGTAGCTCAACCTCTGGGCCAGCTGTGGTCCAGCTCTCAATATCGAATTGAGATTGCATAACCAGATACTGCAAGTCTTACTGTATTTATATAAAAGCTATTTTAATCAAAAGACTAGCCACTAAATTGCCAGTGCTCTGAAGAATGCTTCACCAAGTTTTCCACTTTTAAGACTCGAGTAGACAATTTTTTAAATCTTTTATAAATGATAAAAAATTCACATCAGATTTTAACAGAATTAAGCATACTTATTCAACACACATGGGGCCTCTGAAAAAAATGTTATTCAATTTAATAATTTCAATTTACATTGTATATGTACAAGAGCATTTCTTTCAACCCACAGGTTAACACCACCAAAAAAAAAAAAAAAAAAAGGAAAAAAGAAAAGGAAAAAAAGTAATGCGGTCAGTGGAGTGAAAAAACTCTTGAAACACTGTTGTCTGAAATAAAAGCAAGGCACTCTCCCTTAACACCTGATATATTCCTGAATTCTGCCTAGACAAAGGCATGTTCACACTGAGAGAGGAAAAAAGAAAAGGAAAAAAAGTAATGCGGTCAGTGGAGTGAAAAAACTCTTGAAACACTGTTGTCTGAAATAAAAGCAAGGCACTCTCCCTTAACACCTGATATATTCCTGAATTCTGCCTAGACAAAGGCATGTTCACACTGAGAGAGCTCTAAGAAAAATAGTAGATTTATTCTGCATTAACTCTTTCTTTTACCACTGTGACCTGTGACTGGTTGTACCCTAGGATGAATCTGTGTATTGAAGTGGACACAAAGGACAATTCCACAGATGATGGGACTGGGAGAGTATCACAGTTAAGACTATCTATGGAAGACTGGAGGACACCAGCTACATGAAATCTCACATGGGGCTCTGGACCTGCTACCTCCCACTCATATCCCACTTAATAAATAAACCTTGCTCAACAAAAAAGCAATTTTACTGTACTATGCTGATTCGCCTGAAAAGTCTTTGTAAAGGGCCCACTTGCAAGAGGTGCCTGCAAGCCCTCATCTGGTTGGTGCTCAGCACCTGGCAGGATTTGTCCCTAGATAAAAGTCATTTCTCAAGGGACCTTGTGTTTGACACAAGGAGACAAAAGTAAACATACTTTTGGATTTTGTCTATGTTTTTGTATGCGCACCTGTGTGAGTGTGTGTGTATATATATACGTACATATATATATATTTAGTATATACAAAAGCAAATTCAGTCAAAATATATTTGTCTTGCTGGTCAGGCTTGTTACAGCAACCTACAAGAAACATTAGCTTCTCTGATATTTAATTATGCTATTAAGTTTGCACATAAGCTTAAAAGTCAATACAAAAAGCAATACTTTTCCAAATATTATCTGCAGGTAAACCGGAAATATTAACTATAGTGATTAGAAGTCTGTTTCCCTATTGACACTACTATAAATCTTGATATAAGAATAATTTTTTCATAAAAGCACATCCAAACATAGTAAGTGATAAAATACCAGATTACTATTTGAAAACCATACAGTGACTTGATATCTGGGTTATCCTTTGCAGCAATTAGGCAATTCATTTGGCATCTGTTTGATTGTATAATTTAATTTCCATATAAACAGCATAGTTTAAAAAAAGACAAAAGCTAGAATGTTTAAAGCTAACAAAAGATACAGTGACATCAGGTTGACATTCAAAAATTTCCTTACCAAAATGACCAACAAAATTTTGACTTAATACAGTGCATATAAAGTTTTTTAGAACTAAACTTTTTAAATATTATTTGAATTTAGCAAAACATGAGCAAGATTTTTAATATCAAAGTGCTAAACAGTACTGCCTTAGAAGTCACTGCAAATAAACTGTAAAATAACTCTGCTTGTGATTTGACAGATATTTTATATACAAATGGTTAATAAAAAGACACCCGCACACACACACACACACAAATATAGGTATATAGATATATATATACACATTATATATATGTATATAGTTTTCCAACTGGTGTATCTGAGTCAGTGTGAACACCCCATTTAGTTTTCATGTGTAACAGGGCTCCCATGAGCTGGCAGTCATTGCAATAAATACAGGCAAAGCCATTACAATATACCATGCATACAAACATTTATACAAATAAAGACACTATGCAACAAATTATTTCATATTAATATGGCATCAACAGTATAAACATACAAAAAGAAGTACGAACACGGAATGTTTAACCGCAGCCCACTATATCCTTCCTAGCACTTACATTCATACTATTTTACAAGACTTGCTTGTTCTTGAAAACCATCTTCTGTCTGTTTACTAACTAGTTGCCTGTGTTAAAAGTCTAAACCTGAACTATCCCTGATGCTGACCCTGTATGCTCCAATCACTACTTACTCGGATTTCCTTAGCTAAGGAACAACTGAGCCACAATTGCTCCCGTGTCTTCCACATACATTTGTCAATAAATCACGCTACATGGAATCAAGTTTGGAAAACTCGGTCAGGTAAGTTAGTGCATGTAATTTTCTCACTCGATTTCTTCTGTTTGTTTCCATAGTAAAATAAATTAGTTAATAAACGAGACTTAGTAAGACAGCACTTTAAAAAAATTGCACTTGAACATGGGAGCTAACAGCCATTGTCATTTTGCTATATTTGATTTGTATGAAATGTTCAATTGAATGTACTTTGCTAAAAAAGTGAAATTTTCTTTCAATTGTGCTGATGTATGTGCCCTTGATGCAGGAAGTATGCCAAAGGTATCCTCACAAAACACATACTACCCTGGCAAACAACTATTTGCTGTTCTTGTTTTCAAACTTACGCTTTTATTCCTCATATACCATGAGGTGTTAAAACAACAGATTTAAAACAGTCATGTTAACCTCTTACTGCTGCTGGGATAGCATTGTCCAAAAAGTGCCATATTAGCCATTTAAAAAAAACTCAAATCACACAAAAGAAAACAAAGAGCACAACCCCAAACCAGGAAGCCAGTAAGCTTCAGGCCTCCAGTTGTAAGGACAAAGCGCCAGAAAAGACCTCATTTTAGACCTGGAGCTGCTTTTCTGTTACCATGAGGACAGAAATGTTAGCTGTAAGTCACGGTCCGTTTGCCTGCTCTGGTGGGCATTTGCCTTTCAGGAGGGTGGTTCGACTCAGAAGGGTAAGGTGTCCAGAAACAGCCTGTCAATAATGGAAGGGGCTGGCACCAAATCTTCCAGTTTCAGGTAAAAGATGCGCTGCAGTCCCAGTGTGCAGAGAGAACGCAGGTCAGCCAGAACACCCAGCACCTTCGGCTCTGCAGACTCAAGCGGTTGTCCTTTGTTTTGGCAACTGAAAGTTAAGTGATCTTTCAAACTGCTTGTGATCTTGTTGCATAGCTCTTCCACTTTCTTTGGTTCTTTTAATCCATGTCGTTCTGCAAAGCGGAAGAAAAACACACATCAGCATCCCTGCTGGAAACTGAGAGGAGCCTTTTTTGTTTGTTCCTGGAATCCAAATCCATGCTCTGGTACTCAAAGCAAAAAATGTTGCAAAAGTGTAAGGTTTCTCAGAAGAGTTGGGGTTATACAATGTCAGTTAACCTTTCTGCCACACAAAATAAAGAGATGGCAAGTGCCCTTTTCTCTTCACCTGCTAAAATAGATGGCAGAGATGCTCAATTACAATGGAAATTCTAGCACAAGGAGTCCAAGCTTCCCCCTTATCTCACATAATTTTCATGATATGAGACAGAATTAATTGGGTGATTTTCCAGCAAAACTATCACAGGAGGTGTTTTGGAGATTTCCGTGCTTCCCCACCAGTTGTGAATGCTCAATAACTATGGCAACCATTATTTATTCAGTGAATTCAAGTGGTGATCGATATCCTTAGCCAGCTCCATCAGCGCCAAGCCTAGAATTCCACCAGGAATTTGCAGACACTCTCAGAAGAAACTAAAGGCACCTTACCACCCTTTGTTATTTTGATCAGCTGCTGCTTTTTAGTTTATTCCTCTTTAAAAGGTCTAAGAGAAAAGAAGCCTGGAAGTTAACTATTTTGTTTTGAGTGAGCAATGCCTACAGTGAGAAGGCAGCTGTGTTATCCATCACCAAAACATCAGAATTCCTAAAAGGAAGGGGGTTTGTCCTCCTTCTAATAGCCTTTTAAAATGCTACAACCATGGTAAACACATCCACAGTTCTTTAAGCACAATGAATCAGACCTGTGATTCATTAAAATCAGGCTCTTCACTTGTACATGGGGAAACATAATTTTGTGCTGTTTGCTATCAAGATGTAGTGGATGAATTCATAAACACTTCAGAGCAAACCACTTTGTGATCTTTTGATTTGCCTTTGAAATTCACGGGTAAGAAATTACTTAATAGCAAAGTCATAATCATTTACACATAATATAGAATAGTATTGAATAGGTCAGTCTAAGAAAATGCAGGTTAAATGAATTTCAACTGACTAGACATACAAAAACAGTGTCAGCAGCAGACAAGGAGTGACTAATTCTGGCAATTCCCATGTTTGATGCATATGAAGTCCTCTGCCTTCCCTGGCCCTCACCCCTATCCATGCCAGCCACGTGCTATATTGCGCCCATTGCCCTCAAGTCTTGTTCCTCCACTCCAGGAGGACTGGGAAATGGATACTTCTTCTGTCCCCTAACAAACAGTGAAAAGAGGCCAGTTTTCTTCCAGAAGCAGGCATGATGTCTGAGCAAGGCTCAGTGGGGCCTTGCCCAGGTGTGTGTATATAAGCTCTTCTCTGCCTCCCCTTAATGCCTGTGTTGGCTACATGTTCTCAACAAACCAATAAAACAGATGGGGTTCAATGAAGGCAGTCAGAAATGTAAAGGTCTGATTTTCCACTGATATTCCTCCATTTTACACTTTTTTCAACTTTATTTGCTTAGGCACAGCTAGCTGCTGAAGATCACTAGTTTGGGATCAGAATCAGAGCTGTGCAGATGTGTACACCTTTGGCCAGAAGCTGCTGTGTTCTACCTTTTAAGTACCATCAATCGGCCCTGTTGCTTCAGAGCAACACTCATCCAAGCAGTAACATCTGCTTCAGACACCTTCTTCACCTTGCAGAAACCCTAGGTATTCTAAGTTCTTTGTTTACATTAAAACACGAGGGTCAATGAATATTTAAAGCCTTTCCAGTAAGTGGTGTATAGTGTAATTATGTAAGTCTTAACTATACAGGTCACTGAGAGTAAATACTTGGGCAGATTTTGCCATTAAAAATCTTGGCAGATAAATATTTTATACAGATTTGAAAAGCTGTAGGGTGTTTGTTGGTTTTTTTACCACTAGCCTACTGAGAGAATCTGCAGGACATTAAATTAATCTTGCAGTCTTTGAAGAGTTCTCATCTTTTAATCTGTTTTGAGGTTGTTTCCTGGCTGTGTAAGTTAAGGCATCTTTATAGATCTAGGAAGCTGAAATACAAGAATGGATCTAAAATCTGACTACAAATCAGCAGAGTATATTTTTAAACCAATGTTTCAGAAGGTGTGTACCTTGCTGCAGAGTATGGAAAATTATCTCTGGCTCTGGAACACATAGCAAAATTGTTAACATTCCCAGACAGAACTAAACAATCTCACACGGACAAGTTCAGAAGGTTTCATGACCAAATCGTGTCTTTGGTGACAAGCCATGAAACATACTGGCGAAAAATACAATACATGCAAAGATTATAAAATTAGGAGCCTTGTTTTAAATAACAAAACCAGAGAAATTAAAAATTAAGATATATTCCATCCTTAAGCTGCCTTCTGGTTCTACAATATTAAAGCAGTCTGATAAACCAGGCTGTCCTCTCTTGCGTGAACTGCCACACAATAGCCTCATTACTGGAGCTGCCTCACTGGAAGAAGGGGGTTTTCAGTTGCCAGTCCCTAGAGCATCCTTTGTGGACCCAGAGAAAGTCAAAGCCATCTATGTGGACGCCCTTCTGCTATCAAAGGGCACTGTGTGCACTGATGCTGCCAGTGCAGTCTCTAGTGTTAGTGTCCAACTAGTTTCTGGGGAATGCACTAGCATAAGGAACAGCTCCTCTATTCTGTATACTGGAGAAGTCTTAGGTCTAATTTACTAAAACATTTAAATTTAATAGGGTTCAAATAGTAGGAAACACATTTTCTTGACTTTTCCACATGACCTGTCTCATTTGGGCAACAGAAAACCCACAGGCTTTCTTACTGAATGTAAAGGGAGCAGCACAAGGCACCTGTGCTAAGTGTGTGCACTGATGCTGAAGCCAATGGCCTCTAACCATTTGCCATCTTCCACAGGATATGCTTATGGGATATTCCACATGGGAATGATAAGGCTAAGATTGATCCCCAGGGGACAGCTAGTCAAAGCCAATAAATTTTCTCTAACTGATCAAGGAGGTGTGCCAGTATTATTGTACATAGGCTTTCTTATAATGACAAAAAGGCACTGGGGGAAGTGAAAATAGGATTTCTCAGCCTTATGTTTTAGTACACCATTGATTTTTGCAAGAAAAATGGTGATTTATGGTAAAGAAGCCAAAAGCCCGTCAAAATGATTCATCAGAAGTCTTGCCTTTACAGGTCTGCAAACTTAGCAGCTCAACCTGGCAAACTGAACCCAACAAGTATTTTACACCCTTCTCCTTTTTCCAGGCATCTCAATGCAATTCTGTGCTATAATTATGCTGATCAGCAACAGGTTGATAGGAAGAAAGCAAAAGAGCAGGAAAGCCCGTCACCAGCTGTGCTAGTCCTTCTGTCCCTAATCTCTGGCATGGGGTAGATGATGCCCGGGCTAGGCAGACTGAGAGCTCCTTTTATAAGAAACAACTTTCAAAGAGTGAAAGTATTTCAAAGACCTTGAGTATCTCAAAGACCCTTTGAGTTAGTTTTAGCCTTTAGTCATTCCAAGGTGCCAGTCCCATCAGAAATGCAACAGATTTATGCTGCAGACTTAAAATAGGCCTCTTCAGTGTCTCAGTTTCAATACAGTTATCTGATTTTCTCTTCCCCCTTCACAGTCCTCTTCCCCTTCTATAACTCAAATAAACGTGAGGCTCAGTTGCCTGCAGCTTTCTGCACGTCTGTCTTGTGCACCCTCTGGTACACAGCAAGATCGCAACTTGGCAGATCCAAGAGTCTCCCTTCCTGTTGCAGTCTGGCCTATAATCCCCCTGCCTAACCTTCAGGCACTTCACAATGGTGCCCAAGTGAGAAGCACAGACTTCTCAAGCTCCTCCTAACATCAGTGGAAGGCTGGGCATTTTCAGAAGACGATTCAGATTTTAGGTGGACATATCACCTTCTGGAGGTGCCCAGTATTTCTCCATTGGCTGTGCAAGGTACCTACAGTCAGATGTGCTGAGTGACCCCACAAGGCATCACCGTTTGCTCCCTCCTTTGAAAAACCCCTCAATGTAACACAGAAGCCACTGGCTGATGTAGGAGGAAAGAGTTCTTGCCTCAGCAAAAGGGTGGGAGAGGAGAAGGAGGAGTGAATACTTCACTTTGATGCTGACAGTATTTCCCTCAGTAAAGTGGCAGGGGGAAGGCAGACAATGCAATCTGGAGGATTGGTATTTTTTTATAACTGGCTCTCCTACACTCCTCCAGTCTGCCACCTGCTCGTATGTAGACCCAGCACACCAAGCACCCACTCTGGAGAATCCTGGCAACAGGACTGAAGGGTAACTGCTGCTGAAGAGTAGGTGAGCCTCTCTTCTGCAGGGAAGTTGGACAAATTCATGTTCAGAAGAGAACTGCAGCAGCCAGACCCTTTTTAGCCAGGCTGGACTCCTGACTATTTCTTAGTGTGACTGATGGTGCTAAAAATTGTGTTTGTAAACTAGAATGGAAAGCCCAACAGCAGGAAAACAAACACAAAGTCTTAATTGAAACCTCACAGTATTCTTCAATGTTCTGGTGCCAGTCTAACAAAGCATTAAGAGTGTGAATAAGCCCAGTACATACAGTGGCTCTGGGCTGGTCTGTAACACACTTAAAATAAAACATATGCCAGAAGAGTTTGGCTGAATGAGGGCTAGAATCCTCTGTACTCGGCAGTATCCCACTGAGAGTGTCAAGTGGGCAAAACAATAATATTTTCATGTGGATAGAGAAAGGACAAGGCAGAAAGGAAAAGAGAATCAACGAAGGAGAGAGAGACAGAAAACATGAGCAGTTTCAGAGCAGGCAGAAATTTGAGGCTAAATTATGCCCTGATGTGCCCTTGAGATGTCTGCATCGGAGTTTCAACCTTTGTATTTTGACACTGTTAGAGAAACTGTAAAGCAGAACATTATAAATGGTCATCTGGATAGTTAAGGAAGCCTTTTCAAGAATAGCCTGAGTGAATACCTAGTCTATTCTGCAAAGCTTCATCATCACCACTGTCCACTCCAGTAGTTGTGCAGGAACACTTGTGATCCATGCAACACACTAAACTGATAGAAATTGTCCATGTGGAACTAAGGACAGAACTTGTCCCAGGTTGACCAGTGTTTTCTTTCCACCTTGGCAACCTTCTTTAGCTCATTAGATTCCACATCCCAACAGAATAAGTGATCCAAACAAAAAGATCAGGACAGAACTCATTTTTTTGCTTTCATGGGGATGTGGGGTGAGTGTCATGTGTTGATTCCTAACTACTTTATTCTGGCTGATGCTGAGAGTGCTGCTGATGTGCTCTGGAGGAAGTTGTGTCCAGCCCTTCTTAACCAACTGAAGAAAGTTAAAAAAGAGAACAGAGACAGAAAGATCCTAAAGGAGTACCTTAAAGAAAAAAGATGTATTTTGGCATTGCAGAGTTTTAAGTTAACCTTTTGTAAGCCACCCACAATAAACCAGATATCACTTATTTCATTCTGGATGCTCTTTCAAGCTGATGTCCTATCCGAAAGGACTAAAAAGTTCAGCAGCAATCGACAGGATGCTTTTCCTTCTAGGCAACATATTGCAAAACCCCAAGAAACATAAAATAAACAGGAAAAGTACAAATACATGGACTTTCTAATAGATTGTATAATGCCAAATATTACAAAATCCTGTTTATTTTATGTTGTGCATACCTTTATTCAAAGCAAGCAGCAAATTAATGAGTACTGTGATACTCACTAGGTCTCCTGTCTCTTCAAAATTACTAAACAGAACAAATGGTCATATATGGCTATAACCATACACCCTACGCTGTGACCTGCAGCTGTGGTTGAGATAGGACATGGAGCTTTGCAGCACTAAACAAATCAGTAGGGTTAGTTAGAGGGTATTGGAACTACTTGGGATGTTACTGGGGAGCTGATTTGACATTCCAAAATGAGAGAATAGCCTTCACTATTGTGAGGCACTAGCAACAGTGGAATGCCTGCTAGTCTCCAAAGTTAATTTTAACATTTATTCCATCACCAGGACACAGATGTTAGTCCTTCCTGTCACTCTTGCAGAAAAGAGAGAGAAGGTACAAAAGAGGATAGTGACTTCTCTCTTTCAGCAACGCTGCTAATGACTAGTATACAAGAAAGTTTGTTTTCCAACAGTGTACCTTTGTTTGGGCTATGGAGAGGACTCATGAAATCAAGAATAACAACCAGGTCATTATCACCAGGAGTGTTTTCTTTACCCAGAGACACAATTCTTGAATTGGGTGCTACCTAAGATGCTGGCTGTACAGTAGTAAAACAAACTATGACTATTACAGAACACCGATTTGTTGTCTTTTTCTTTTTTTTGGTTGAACCATCAATCATGAAATGTTGACTAATGCAAAGTAAGAACCGGAGCAATTTGTGTAATAATTAAGGAAATTTTGCTCAAGCCAGAACTTCAGTTTTGCAGTGTTGCTAATAAAGCAAACAACTAGATTCACAAAACAGAGCTTTTCTGCTCCCTCATATCTTGTATCCCAATGACTCAGCTATCCATCTCAGACATGGGAGACTCATGGTCAGATTCCTTTCCTGTTGGAATCAGACCAGAGACTGGGCCTTTGGTGCCCCTTTGAGCACCAGCTTGTCCCCAGATCGTCAAACACAACAGCCATTCTGCAGCCCATGAAATATGTCAAATGGCCTCAACATAAAAGACAGTGGTACTCAGTAGTCAAATACCCTGTGTTCCTGGAAAAGGTCATTCTCTCTTGCTCTGACACACAAAAAGGGCTTTAACCAGAGCTTGCTAACTGCCCATTGCCTTCAACAGTCCATAACAGGAGAGAAGATCACCTTCTCCAGAGATAAAGAACAGCACCAAAAACACTCACCTGGATCTAAGCCAAGCCTCAAGCCTATGCTTTAAAATATTCAACAGATTTCAGGTTTCCAAAATGTACCCTTATTATTTTTTTCTTTTTTGGTGGGACTAGCTGGAAACCAGCACGTGGCTTGTTACACTCAAGCTGTAGGGAGAAGACAAGAAGCTATTTCTCATGGAATGCCATAGAGGGAAATCTCAAGGTGTTCTGAAGGAATATAGAATTTCAATATACAACCACTGAGGAAGTCTCAAAAGAACACTGCCCACCAGCATGTTGTGCTGTAGTGCTGTCTTAGCCATAAGGACCTGATTTCCTGATCCAGTTGTTTTTTAAATACTGTGCATCATTACACAATGCCATCCATTTTCAGGTGACCAAATTTCTGGCTGAGTCACTAAGTTAGCTGCTGCCTTTGGAGACCTGAACCCTGTGAATATAAATCACTAAACAGAAGGAGCTAGGGTCTAATTTAGATCGCATTAAAGTATACTCTGTCCTTCAAAGCAATCAGCAGAGAAATACTGGCCTCATGAAATAACAGAGTATGCAGAAAATGACATTAATTTAAAGCACCCTGTCATACAGGTGAGAACGTCAAGAAAAGCTTGACAAATATAGATAGAATTGGTCACCTTTTAAAGCCATCAGTTACTTCCATTTTTTAGATACTTTGGGAAGAGCAGCCCAATATAGCCAACTCCTGAAAGGGTTATTATCAAGGAAAGAAATGTCAGGCATTATTAATTAAAAACTATTTCTATTAAATATCTTAGGGTGACCTGAGCCAGCCACTGGACAACTTTGGCTCTTTATGTATGGGCAAGCAAACAGTGTCTAACTGAACAGAAAATTATCATGTTAAAAAAGGGCACGGGTTTGTAAGGAGAATAACTTTTCTTCCTATACAGCAGCTTTTTCTGCATTCATTTAGACAGCTTGCTGGAGATCCTGTTCATTAACCTGCATTCTCTCAGTCTTCAAGAAGATAATCAAGAACAAACTATCTGTGTCTAACTAAAAAACCCACATCTAATATATAGTAAACAATCTGAATCAATGATATGTGCTATATGTATGTGAGCATATATGCCTGTATGTAAATATATATGGACAGACAGAGCACCTGTCCTTGACTTATAGATATTTAAATGCATAAATATATACATTAAATATGTATATAGGTATGTACACATACATATATAGATATGTACTTATAATACATTTACGCAAATGTGTGAACACATCAGTGGATGTTTATATATAGGAGTAAAAAAAAAAAGTTGGGAATGTTCTTTCTCACTGCAACGTATCACTCATTTTGAAAAATTTTCATGCAGAACAAAGCTACTCCAATGAGTTATTCTGGACTTAAGCATTTTATCAAATAAACTAGAATCTGGACCTTAAAGTACTCTTTCCAATTGCAGATGAAATGAGCAGAAATTAATAAAAAATTCTTAAGAAACAAAAAGTTACACGTATACACTAACCCTTCACCACAATGCAGGAAGGAAGCACACCATGCAGACTCTCCAAATCTTGGCCCCACAAGACCTGGCCAATTTGAGTTTGTATATTTGCCATTGAACGTTTTATCTCTGTATTTCCCTAGCATCATCTCCTCCTAGGTAAAAGGAAGACTGCAGCTGATATTGTTGAGGCCACTGCCTGCAAATAGGTGGATGCCTGAAATACAGAAGGAAATCAATATCCATCCCAGTGGAGCTTATAGCATCCCTGGGAAGATCCTGCTCAAGGCACACTGAAGTCCTGTCTCACACGCTGACACAGTTGCACCTTTATACTACCAGCATTTCTGAAACAAGTGTGAGGCTCTCTGTAGAGATGACTGCTGCTCTGACTTCTGCTGCATGGTTGTCAGACACCCTTACTCCCAAACCTTTCTGCTTCCACCAGCCATGCCTCTTCAATTACAAGAAGCCCAAGGTATGCAGCATGGACTTCAGGAGGCTTTGCTGTTTCAGGAACAAGAAAATTACTCTGTAATGTAATGATGTTCTGCTCCCCTGTTCTGTACTTATTGGTGAGATGTGGCAGATTCTGACATTAGTCTGCTGCTGTTTGCCCCAGCAGGCAGAAGGGGTGATATGGTCACATGCACACCCAAAAGCTTCTGTACAACTGCAGAGGAGGCGTTTTTTTTCCTGACTGTTCTCCAGTTTTTTCTCTCTCAAAAAAGCAGTCCACAGAATACCAAGAATAGCTTGGCTACCAAAAGCAGCCTGCCTGCCCTCGTGAAGCACTCCTTCTGGTTTAGCCCTTTTGCTGAGAGATAAACTTTACTAGCTGTATGGCTTTTAGCTCTCAAGCTATCTTGATATTATTGTTTGTACACAGAAGACTCAGGTCATTTCCTTAGGCTTTTCTGGGAATTCAACAAGTATATTGAACACAGGAGCCACATTATTTGCTTAGAAGCAGTTTGTTTTTTAGAGGCTCTTCCAAGAAAACAAAGAAACTGTGAAGAAACAAAGCTAGATGACACGTTCATGGGCATATCTAATAGCCTAATGTTAGTCCACAATTTCAGTATGGTCATTCTAATTCTTAAAAATCATACTCACTTCACCCTGAATATAGCTAACTGAAATTGCTTGAATCTATATTAAAACAAAGCAATAGAATCTGAAGCTTTCTATTAACAAAGGACCACTTACCTGTAATCATAGTTAGAGCTGATAAACTTGCTAAGGCTGGGATATCAAGGTTAAGGCTCTTTAAGTTTAAGGAAAAGTCTTTAATAGAGTCGAGCCACTCCCCAAATCCACGAAGGCACTGAAGTCTATGAAGCACGAGTCCATTGCAGAATACAAACTTATCCTCAGCAGTATCAGACCTCAAATAGAAATGATTGAGAAAATTATAAATGCATTTTCTACATTATAGCAAAATTCCTAACTGGTATTAAAGTGTCTGTCACTTAAAATCCAAGGCATATTATCCTGAGACATATGTGGGCATTCACGTTTGACAATATGCTTCTCCCTTGGGGCCAAAGTACAACAAACAAGCTTCTGTGATTGCTTACTTGGTAGAGTTACAAGCCTGAGGTTAGCTGTAGCATGTGGTGAAGACTGTCTAATTAGTTAAGATTTTGGTCCTGCCCAAAGGCATAAACAGAGAAGACATTTTACATTAAATACTATATGTCTGAACCAAAGGAATACTGAGAGCATTTTGAAACACAAAACTAGCAAAAACTGGAGAAAGAAGAGATTCTGCCACTCTCAACATCTACTCAGTCTCATCTGCATTTTTCAGATTGGTAAGGAAAACACATTGGAAAATACATGCAGTAATGCACCACAATACAGAGAACATCATAAACTCTCTTGTATGAAAACCTGTGTGCAAGAGAGATATTACAGCCAAGCTCTCCTTTCCTTCCCCTCCCCACTGGCAACATCCCTGTTAAAAAACGCATGCAAAGGTCATGTTCAAGCTAAAGAATCAAGGGCATAATTCAAATCACCAGCTTGCAATTTCTCCAGTCCTTGTGAGTGTTTTTTGGTAAAGTGTCTTAACTAGTGCCAGACTGATAAATAGCATCTCACTCTATCAAATGACCTGGTATTAAGAAGAAAAACAATCTGAACAAGATTTTAAATCTTCTTCATTCCTTTAAAAAAGACAGCAAAGATGTGCATAAGGACAAGGGGGAACATAAAAAATCTTTCATACTGAAGGTGCTTTTTTTTCCTATAGCTCATGCTGTTGCCTATGAAGCAAACTTGCTCAAAGAGTACCTGAGGATCAATTTTGATTACTTTGGAGAGGAGGATGGGGTATATCAAATGAAAGCACATTAGTGAGACCTATGCTCTCTTTTAAAATCACTTTTTTTATTTCTGCAGCATAAAACAAATTAAGCACCATATCCTTTGGATGCAGACACTGCTGATGGTCTGCGGGTTTTTTGGTACAACTGACAATGTTTGAAGATAGCACTATATTTGTTTGTGAAATACATTTAGATGGATGATTTTTCACATCATCTTAAGAGGAAATGAAAAAAAATAGTTACCTGATGGAGAGTCTTAGTACAAACAGCTCCAAAAAAGCTGATTCTATGAGTAATGTCTGATCTTCTTTTGGGAGGTCAGTAAATCCTGGGATTTTTTCTGCCCAGCCTCTAGTTATGTCAATGGAGGCAGTCAGAAGGTTATAGAACTGTTGTACATGTTCTGCATCTGTGCCTGCAGCAGCCTGATCAGTGGAACAGTACTAAAATGAAAGCCACAGAAAGCAACGTTACATGCATTTAAGGGCATTCTGTGAAACACACAGCATTCCTTGCCCAACAACATTTCATTCTGTGGCAAAGCTGGTATTACTGTCAAAAGCATAACAAGCAGGTCTACGTCTATCTACTTATTTGGCTACCTGCAGGCATTTTGCTATTCAGATGTATATTGCAAAAAATATTTCCACATGTATAGAAACAAGTTAAAATTTATAAATAAAATATAATACTTAATCACACTTTACAAATACCTGTATGCTATTAGTAAACAGAAACTGAAACCTGGTGGGTAGGATAATTTGCATCACACTAGAAGAGGAATACTATGTAACTCACTACAAATAAACACTTTTTCCATTGATGAATTTGTCACACTATGTCCAAAATGCAGATTTCTTCCAAAACCTCTCAAACTGCATTTTATCTGACAGTGATAGAGACATATAAGATAAATCATGTTTTATCTGAAACATGCAGCATTGCTTCATTTGAATACAGAATTGGTTCAAAGTAAAACAGCTGCCCCATATCACCTCTTATCCTTCAAAAAGAAGCATTTAAGGTTCAGAAGAACCTATTATCCCGCTTATGTGGCCATAACTCTTCCAGACAACTAGTCAACGGGCTCAGCTTGCTCAGCTTCCCTGTGACCCTCTGACAGGTCCCTCCTCCTATCTCCTGCTTCCTTACCAGTGGATCCCTGTCACTCCTATGACGTGGCTCTCTCTGTCTCCTGGCAGAAAATACAACAGGAGCATTCATGGCTCAGTCCCATCCTGTGCTTGGAAAGCGGTGATGGTTTTCTGAGCAGCAACTGAGTAACTTGGGATTTATTGTAACAACATCCTCCCCATCAGACATTTGGTGGGTTATATCTGAGAGAGACTACATAACCCCTGTCTCTCTGGGACTCAGCCAAGGAAAGGTTGGGGTGACCTCCATGGCTGAAAGAAGTGTATGTGCTCTTTGGAAACAGCCTTCCACATGCAGTTAGGACTGAAGGTCTCCCTAGCAACACCCTGAACCAGAGTGGAAGCAGAAAGACCCACATCTCTCTCCCAGTCTGTAACAGCGGGCTGGCAGCCTGGGAAGACCTTACTACAGGCGTGCCACTTGGGCACCACTCAGGTTGCTAACTGAGATCCCAAAGTGACCTCTGCACAGGAAGGAGAGGAGGGCAGCATGCAGAACTTCTCAGATAGGTGTCCTGTTCTCTGCCTGTTCTAGTTGGAGCTGATTGCTGCTGTTAGGCAAGGGAGAAAGGACACACTATCAGAGATGCTGATTGATTAGAGAACCACAGGAATCCTAGAGACCTCTGGCAGTATCTGAGGTACTGGTGCTACCTCTGAATGGCTTTGCTCGCCCAACACTACGTGCACAGGTTTCTCACGGTAAGTTCCAGATCACATCCCTAGTCAGCTGGTGAAACACATGCAATCCCTCTTACAAATCTCATGTGGAGTCAAATTCTGCTCCAGCTGCTCCAAAGCATCCTGTGAGAGTGAAGCAGGTATAGGCCAAAATGCAGAGAATGGGGAGCCATGGTAGAAAAAACAGGTGTGCTGCATCATTGATGTGTTCAGTGGAGCAGCTGAGGATGCTCGAGCAGCACGAACTTACTACTCCTGGCACTGGACTGCAGCAAGATGCACCAGGGTGGTTAATGGGTAGAGAGAGATCAGAAGCGTTTTCAGAGACCTTGCATGTTCTAGACCCTCTTAAAATGAAGCTATGGAGCAGGCAAGACAGTGTGTATCTCAGCTCTAGGACATGTGCTTTGCTGCAGAGGGGCTGACCTATGACTCCTGCTTTCTACAATGGGAACCAAATGAGCTGAAGGAGACTCCTGACTCAGCATAGGTACTGTTAGGTCAGGAACATTCTTGATCCTTTGAGCAGTGAAGAGGAAGGAAAAGAAAAGGAAAAGAAAAAAGATACTACCCTAAGTTAATTCTGAATATAAGTAACCACAAGTCAGCATAATTATGCCAGGTATTAATTTGTTCCCAATATTTATAAAGCATTCATTTGGCTAAAGTAAGGCAAAAGTTTTAACATTTTCTAAAAAAGCTGAATGCTGCATTATGTCACATAAAGGTAAATGCTACAGTGTGGTATATCCTATATGGGGCACTTAACTGAATTAAATGCATCTAAAAAAGTTATAACCTGTATTCATTGTTATAGTTTATCCCATGAAAGCAATTTTAGAAGAAAGGTTAAAGATTGCATGGAATTATATATATTTTTAGCTGCTGTAATATATCACTGCTTGCTACAAAGAGTCAGCATTTACAAAGAATAGCTAAAAGAAAATATTTCCTTGTAACAGATTTATAAGTATATAAGTAACAAAAACCAATATGCATGGTTCTGTTTTATGCACCAAAATCAGTGGCTTTTCTCTGTTATTATTTCACTGAGGTGATATTTGATCCAGCTTCTGACCAAGACAGCTGGTAAGCCTGCCTTTGGTCAGGAGGCCACAGAACAGAAGGGCTCTGATCTGCATTTCTTAACCTGCCCTGTGCACTGGAGGCATGCCGGGAGAAAGCCAGAAGACAAAGCTCTGCCTTACTCCCTTGCTCAGAGCTCTTCTGGGAATTGAATGAAACCTGACTGCTACTCAAGGAGGCAGCTGCACATGCAGCAACATTAACTGGTATGGTATATCCAAGGAGATTCAGAAAGCAAGATGCTGGGGAGCCTGGTAGCACAACCTGTCTCTACCCTTTGCCTGCTTTCATCAGACCTTCATCAACTGCTACAGCTGCAAAAGCCCAACAAAAACTTCTTTGCACAAGGGAGAAGCTATGCTTCTTTTCTGCAAAAGCCTCGATATTTTCTTCATTTTGTGGCTGGGGAAGGGGGAGGATTATTACCTAAGTGGTGTGTTCTCCCTCCAAAAAGGCAACATTTTTATTTAAGTTGGTGGCTATTCTGTATGAATAAGGACAGCAAGATATAGGGCTGTTTCTCATCTCACTTACTTAGGACATGTAAACTCGTGGAATTGTACCAGTAAAGCACTTGTACCACTGCAGCACTTGGCCTTTAAGGAGTTCAGAAACCAAATTCTCTTCCGAGAACTTGCTTTTTAAAACCAAGTACCTAAATATACCATTGTTGTGGACTGGTAAGTTAAAACCAGTGCTGACATGAAAAGTAGCCATGTTCTGAATGGAACCGGTTCCAATCTGTTTTGGTTTAAAATTCATAGCTTATGTAATTTTTTTTGCAAATTCGTTTTTTTTTGTTTGGTTGGTTTGTTTGCATGTGGGGTTTTTTTGGAGGGAAGGTGTACATGTTCCTCCCTGAAACTCTTTATCAGTGTTTTTAAGGTTGTCGAGACATTATGGCTTGTAAATATGAACACCATGCTAAACACTAAGGTCAATTCTGCAGAAGCATTGGGACTGACTCCAAAGCCAGGCTTCCAAATCTACCCATTTGTGGTGCTTGGCAGGGTTACAGCCTAACTGAACATGCCATAAGTCAGTCTTTACAGGTGCAGGATTATTACTCAAAGGGATTTTTTTCACATTGCAGTGTGTTTACAGCATATTTAATTTAGCTAAGCTCAGTTTTTACACAGCATTTGCTTCTGGTCTTCCTTAACTTTTCAAAATAAGGTTTATGAAAAACATAATCTCTTAAGTTCTTTTAGTATATTTTTCTCTTTTCAGAACTGATGAGCATAACAGACTAGTATATATTTTATTGTAAAGAAGAACTTAGATACTAGTATGTCCTAACAGACAATCATTCTTAATTGGCTAGCTACCAAGACTAAATTAATTTACTGTCAATCATAAGCTTCATGTAATGTCCAACAGAATTGTTCAACAATTAGATCTGTGGGCTGTTGACATGAAAAGAGACATAATAACTGCAGGACAAAGAAAAAAGTCACACAAAAATACAGTTTTCATTCAGTTTTTCTGTACACGCAAAATAACTTTATATCTATAAATAAATAAATACATAAGGTTAGATACTGTTTTCATGGCCCAGGCTATTACATGCCTGTAATTCTGTGGAACCCAGCAGATTTCTGTCAAAGAGCACAGCTCATCATACACCTCTGTATATGCAAAATGACCCCCTGAGACATTCTGGATAAGTTAAAATATATGTAAATACAGCTAATGCATTCTCCCCCTAAAAGGCTGTCAGATGCTGAACAGCTAGATTCCTAATAAGAATTTGGAAAATTATATGATTGTATACTTACAGACTAGCTTGAAGAAAAGATGCTACAGCATGCTTAAAATTGCTAAACAATATACTTAAGTACAGTCTAAAATACTGTAATTTTTATATAATTACAATTAAATGTGTTTTATGATTAAGTATTACTTAGCAACAACTGAAAAATGGCCACTGTAGGTACTGAGTATAGCTGTATTTTTAATAGTTTCAGATTTAATAGTATTTATTTAAGGTAAAGAAATTTGATCTTGTTTTTCCTTAGTTGTATTTCTTTCTTTTCCTGTATCAACCTCCCTAAAAATGTATTTAACAAGCCATTTCAATGCTGTATTTTAATAACAATAGAACAGTTTTTAAGCTTTCAAAATATTCAATGAATATTTAAATGGCAAATATGATATATTAAAGAACAAGGTTACCAAAATATATAATCTCTGGCAAAGCTTTGCTGAGGTTTTTTTTAAAATTTTGATTTTCAATGCTTCATTTTACAATTGTGAATTTTACTGAAGAAATATTCATGCTGCAGTATCCAAAGCCAGACCCTGATCCCATTTAAATAATGGAAAAATTCCTTTTCATTTCAATAGAAATGGCTCTATCCATCCAGTGTGACTTTGCGCCACACTTATGTCCCAATATTATGGAAGTGCTATTAGATTTTAGCCTTCAGAACTTGGAAATTATGATACTGGACATACGAGTCCTGCTCCTGAGTTTGGTAGATTAATTGATCGTACTGCAATTGCTAGTGTTTTGGCACAGTCTTTTGCAAGAAGAATGCTCTGCTTAGCCACACATTTTTGCTTTCACTCACCCATGGAATACACTGCAGATAACTCTGTGACTGAGGTCTTCACAATGCATAGTTACTAGCACTGATTTCTACTGTACCTCCTTTCCCCTCATCATCCACCTACCATGAAAAGACATGGCTGGCTGGACAAGTTCCTACCCCCATCTAAATTTCACAGGTAAATTCATTTTAGCGAACCGGCTGGTAAGTAGAAATGCAGTTCCCAAATCATTCCTATGTGGAAAATAAACAGGCAAAGAAAGGTGAGACCTACTCTTGAATAGTCAAGCTCCCTGGGCGTGGAGTCAGTTAAAGCTCGTACGAGGGCGTTCATCAGGCTGAGGGGAGGAGACGGCGGGGAGGGCTGGGAGGGCTCTTGCTGTAAGGGGCTCTTTGGTTTGGAAGGCAGTCGACCTCTTCTCCCTTTCAGGCTGTCGGTACGGACAACTAGGTAAAAAAAAACAAACAAGGAATCAGTTGTGAAGATACCAGTAAATGCCAGGTCAGAACGAACACCTGCTTTTCTTATGGGATGGCCAGCCTGGCAATATTAAGAGCATTCTCCAGTTTCAGCACTTGCTCTTGATGCCTTTGACTGCAAAGGAACACAAACGATACCGAAACTGTGTCAGAGCTCCCATGACTGTAAGCAGCAACGTGCTGCTTACTAAAAGCCTGGTTGTGCTCCTCGTGTTCATGCTTTGTTTGCAGCACATCTAAGCGCCCGTGTACGTGTGCCCATACACACACACACACACAGACACTCTATTGCTGCAAGAAAACCAAATGCGAAATGCAAATTCTAATGTTCGTACTACTGGTGCACCTTGTAAATAGCAGAGTTGTTAATTTAAAGTAATTTCAGCTTTTTTTGAAGCATTTGAAAAAAATGTGGTCACGCTACATAGGTTATACTATCCATGTTGGTATTTGCAATGGGACTGCTCACACAGCACTACTCACATACTTAAATATTTGCAGAATTGGGACTAATGAGTTGATCCTGTTTCCGTCTAAATTACTTGCAAATATACAATCAGCTCACGGGAATGAGACAAGATCTTGTGTCAAAACGCAAGCAATTCAGTGCAGCCCCCAGTGAGATAAAGGGTGGAAGCCAACAGCATTATCGAGCAACATTCAACCTTAATAAAGGAGACATTTTGGCCAGTGTCAAATTATCCTCTCGTGACCTTGCCGTTCTTGAACTCTGGGGTCTAAGGTCTAAATATGATAATATGGGCAAAAGAAGAAAATCAATACATTGTTGCACAAATGCACATGTTTTGGGGTAAGTCATCAATCCCATCACTGTAAAATGAATTGTAAAGGCATCCATGTCCCCACACATACATTCATTAAACGTAATATATCAGTGTTTGGGATAATAATAGCAATAGTTCTTACCTTCTTTAACCATGCCAACACTGAGACACTTCTGAAACCGACAGTATTGGCATCTGTTACGACGTCTCTTGTCCACTGGACAGTTTTTGTTTGCCAGGCAAACATACTTTGCATTTTTCTGAACTGTTCTCTGCGAAAATGCACAACAAAAATAGTAAGTAAACCGATCATTTCTTGAGCAACTTAGAACCTGACAAAATGTGTTTTAATTACAACATGAAAAGCGACAGTGCAATTCATATAATTAGATAAAATTAATTTCCTAACACACTAGCCTGCAGGAAAAACAATTTTATTAGTGTTAGCTGCTGACAATGAAAATCATCTAGGATTGTTCTGAAGCAAGTCTCTGGAGACAGGCAACTTTGAATGATAAAATCATATCTGAAATTACCAGGTCATCGCATTTACCTTTGGGGATTAGATTATCTCCGCTTTTAATATCCCTTTGGGAACAATTTTCTACTTGGTTCATTCCCTTGATTATTGCTGACCTTATTAAAATAAAATCAAAATTATCTGTGATGTACTTCTCTTGCTATCACTATTGTTAGTCAAATACCACAATAACTGGTTTGGTTAGCCATTAAAATCAACAGGGAGAAAAATAAAAATACCAGAAACCCCTATAAAATGTGTTTAGTTAAATACTCTGGGAAAGCTAACCTGACCTGGGGAAAAAATAGACAGAAATATACAGTAGTTATATACATCTAATAACTGTAAAATGATCTTAAAACTATACAATAATTTCAACATTTCTGAAAACCTGGAAGACTTTGGCAGAATGGAACAAATATCGCTGCAAAAATGTATTATCT